GGATGCTCACATTTTATACCCCTGAAGTGGGCTCCTGAGAATTCGGTGAGGCAGTAGCGACTCTGGAGGGATCTCTGAGATGGAATACAGCAGACATGTAGACTCCATCGGTAAGTGTCTAAGCCAGGCTCCCAGTCATGCATCTTGGTGTTCTTTGCCTGTGTGCTCCATCTATAGAATGGCCTTGGGGAGAGCAGGTGTGTAAAGGCAGGAGTTGAGTTCCTCCCCACCCACCCTGCCCGCATTGGATGTTGAGATACCGTGCTGCTAGGACATTTTGGATGAAAGGAAGGTGCAGAAAGGTCCCTGGACCTTTGTGTAGGGCCAACAATGGGCAATGGGCCAAGACGTTCATGCTTTCTGCCTGCTGGTCCCCCGCAAGTCTGAGAAAGACATCCCCACACCCAGTGCCGAGGAGATCAGGAGTGAGTGGATGGATAGGAAAGGTACAAGGAATGTTTATCCTACTGATACCCCCTGTGGTTGAGATGCAAGGTCAAAGGGAAGACCATGGTCTCCAGGTCATGTGTCTTTGAAAATATCTGAGTGACTTTCTAGAGAGGTATGGTGGCACTCACATGTATAGACATAATAGGGAGACACAAACAGTAGCCACAGCTGTGCCTATAGGAATATACCTAGACATGTGTGCATATATGAACACCAAACTAAATATCTGTGCACATTCAGTACACTCATATGTATGTGAGCACACACAGAAACCTGTGACAGGGTGCCCTGTAGACATGCATATAAAGACACACATACTAATGAACACATGGCTCATAAGCTGCTTGTAAGCATATGCCTCCATATTGACCTAGATAGGTTGCTGGGCGGAAGCAACCCAGGTCCAGCCTCTGAGCATCTGGATGTCTTCATTGATGCATTGTCCGTGCAGGGCCTGGACCTGTGAGGGGCTCAGTCTATGCTGCAGAGTGGCTAAGTTGATCTATCCTTCCCATCCTGTGGCTGTAGCCACTTGCTGGGCAACTGTGTAGGTGTCGTTCCCCTCTCCAAGCCTGCTCACTGAGGGCAGTGCCCTGCTGAAGTTGGCCTTCCTCATTTTCTCCATGTCACCTGCTGGCTGCCCCCTAACTCCCTGGCCTGTGTTCATGGGTGCTTCCAAGAGCCAGTCTAGACCACTTCTCTTCTCACCCTGCCTTCCCCTGGCTCTCTGACTAATTTGGTATCCAAGCCACACCCAGTGTTTCATTCATTCACTCATTCATTCATATATGTATACAAACATATTGTGTTGTATGCATGGTGTGTGTGTTGCATATACATAAGTGGGTAGGTGTGTATACCCATGTGTATGCATGCCCATACGTGTGAATATTAAGGCCGGAGCAGGACAGTGGGTGTCCTCCTCCATTCCTCTCCACCTTACTGCCTTGAGTAAGGGTTTCTCAGTGAACCGGAAGCTCACTGTCCCAGCAAGTTCTCAGAATCCACCTAACATGCTGGGCATTAAATTCAGATCCATCTGCTTGTAGAGCAAGTGCTGTTACCCACTGAGCTGTCCCCACAGCCCCTGTGCACATGTATCTTTAATGATCGAAGTTTAGGACTCTGTTTAGCTAGCTGCTGGATTTTTTTCTGAGATTTGTCTGTGAGCTGGTTTTTAAGTCTTGTGTAGAAACAGAGGATTTACAGTCCTGTTCCATACGTGGGGCTTCCCTCAGAAGAGACCAGTGACTAGAACCACAGAGGGAGAGAGAGAGAAAGAGGCGTGGTATTTTACTGTGAACATTTTGTCGGTTGAAGGAGATTTTCCCAATTTCAGGGCCCAGGGCATCTTTGTGCATATCACGCAGAACTCCTCGGCACCTCCAAAGTCTCCTGGCTATCTTGTCTTCCATGCGATTCCTCCCTCTGTCTTCCCTGTGGGGCGTGGGTGGCGCAGTTCCTCCAGCTGCCTTTAGTGACATGACGATGTCTGCGGACAGAGGGGCCGGTCAGCACTTTGGAGCTTTGTCTTTTCCCACCAGCACAGGAGGACACTGCTCTGCTCCCGAGGGAAAGCCAGCAGTCTTCAACAAAAGCCCACTGTCACGTCACCTTAGATTTGGTAGGTCAGAATTGACTTACTCTTCCATTTGATTTTACAGGGTTTCATGGCTGCTTGGCTCTGCGAATGCCCATCAGGTCTGTTTTGAATATAGCAAGCCTGTCCATTTCCGACAGCTTCCTCCTCCTTGTTCTCTCTTCTGACTTCACAAGTTCTAATAGGAAACTTGGACGCCTGAGATCTCCCCTCCACACTGTAACACTCTCAGGCCTTTCCTTGGCCCCCCTTCGTTTCTGCCCATTTTACCACATGACACCACCCCTGAATCTTAAGATGTGACCCCTACATTTGCCTGAAGCCTCTCTTGTCTTCTGGTTGTGTGTGAAAGCTACAGTGTTGTTTGTAGCATGATGGAGTTTAGGATTGTTATGATTCCTTTATTTGTCCCTGGATTCTTTCTGTCCTCTTGTAGTGAGATGTGGAATGCATGCCTTCAGCCTTCTCTATTCTGCCCTGGCTTTCCGTAGACACTGGGTGATTCCCATCTGCCAGGGCCGTGTTGTTCCATGGGAGGGAAGCCGGAGTTATACAGCCAGAGGGCAGTAACTGGCCAGTGTGCAGGAAATGGTCAGAATAATACAGTCAATGGTCAGCGTGTTATGATTTGTCAGCACACGGTAAATGGCCAGCATGCAGTGACTGATCAGTGCCTGTAAAGGGTCAGAACTGGGCAGCGTACAGCAACGATCAGGGTGTAGAGTTTGTCAGTGCCCAGTGAGAGATCAGTTGGAAGTGACTGGTCAGGGACTGCCTGTGTTCTCTGTAAATAGAGTGTGTGTACAGATAGGCCTCTTTGAAACTGGGCATGGGTCTAGGGGGTGGGCAGCCTCCTCTAGAATGAACTGGCCTGCTGAATTTGACATCCAGGGCACTGTGGTGCCCAGACATTTGGGCTGTGTTGCACAGAGGTCCTCCCTCCATTCCACCCCACTCCACACCAGTTATGTATGAAGCCCTGACTTGCCCACCAGGGCAGAGGTCATGCGCATAATTGGCTAACCGCTGAAGTCTATAGAACCCGTCTTAGACCAACATAAACATACACAAGCTTACTAAGAAAACCAATTATATTAAATGCAGTTATCAAATGTAAAAGAAAAAAAACCCATTTTGATACAAGGGTATGTTTGCATCCTTATTAAAGCATTACATAAAAAGCCTAGCTGTAGAATGACTGTAATTTGAAATAATGGTGAACATAAGCAATGTACTATGATAGCCATAGATCTGTAACTTGATTTGAAAATACCTGTGATTTCTGTTGGTGACAAAGTCACAGTTACAGCTAAACGATTGTGTTTACTGCCCACATGCCTAATTGAAGGCAATGTTCATTTTTTTGCCTAGAGACATGTAAAATAAAACGCCCCTCCCCCACACCTGAGTTCCTGTACCTCAGGCATAAGGCATGTGGGGACTGTCCCCTCTTTGGGCAGCACAGCATAGCTTATTCAGCTAACTGTCCTGGCAGCAGCAGTTACTGGGGTACAGAGCCTCACCTATATGAATCTTTGGCGATGCAGATCTTGGGCTAAGTTCCCGTCCGTCAGCCGGCTGGATGGACCCCTTGAGTGGCGCCGACTGTTTGGCCTCCCAGGTGCTGTGGCTGGAAGAAGGGACATTCCTCATGGCCCCTCTCTTCTGCTCTGTCCCCGGCACCAGGATTCCCCTGGCGTGCCAGCTCTTGTACCACCAGCCATAGTCTTAGGATTTTTTTCGAGAGTCTTTCCCTTTCCCTTTCCCTTTGTGTCCACTGCCCTGGGCTAATACCCCCTCCAGAGGCCTGTGGTGGTTTTCTCTATTCATCTGCTGTCTTAAGTTGAATGCCCAATGGACTGTCCTGTGTACACAGTGCACCCGCTCCTCTGGGTAGCAGACACAGGCTCTCTGCTTCTCACCTGTGGTTTCTCTGAAAAGCAGCAGCAGTACTGCCTGCCAACCCAGTAGGAGAGCTTGGCATCTGGGGGGAGGATGCTTCTGGTCCTTAAAATTGGAGATATGCTCACTCTACCCAGTGGACTTGAATTAATTGGTGGGCCAGGCATCTCTTTAGGAACTTTCTTTTCCTCTTATAAATTCAGTTTAAGACTGTTCAAGTGGTTAGTTCTTTTTCCATGGTGATCAGCTGTCAGGATTTCAAATAATGGGCACCTGATTGGGGGCAGAGACAATGTCAGGGGCGGGCCTTCTCTCCCGTTTGCCATCTCTTTGGGGCCGAGTCTGCGTGTGTGATGAGCACCCACCAGGATATGAGTCCTCTGCGGTGGAACACACTGCTCCAGGTGAGGTGTGTAGGCCAGCGACCTTGGTGGAGGTCAGACTTTCTAAGATGGACAGGGCAGGATGGTGAGGCTGCCGTGTGGACGACTTTGCTGGATGATGTGTAGGAGTGCATACGTGGGTAGGGTGGCAGAGTTATTTGAGGGAGGAGCTCCAGGGAACTGCACAAGAGAATGCCCAGTCCCTTCCAAGCTAGACACTGTATGGTTTAGTTGCCTGGGCTGGTGCAAGGCTGGGCCACCTCTTCAGGTTGGGGGTGGGGGAAGCTCTGACAAACTCCAGTCTCTCCCAGCTCTTCTGGGGTGGGAGAGGGGTGTTGGCAGCCAGAGAGACAAATTGCTTCTCAACAGCTCCTCCTCTGCCCAGGTGTGGGCATAATAGAGTCTGGTCAGGCAGACAGCATCAAGTTTGGTGGGCAGTCGACTTTACCTTTAATGGTGCTGGTCACCATGCTACTACAGACCTCAGTTTCCCCAAGTCACCCTAATGAGTTTGATCTATCTGACCTCTAAGAGCCCTTCAGAACTGGCCTCTTTTCTTGCATGTTACCTACATACTTGCGCAGGCATAGAGAGAGAGAGAGAGAGAGAGAGAGAGAGAGAGAGAGAGAGAGAGAGAGAGAGAGAGAGAGAGAGAGAGAGAGAGAGAGAGAGAGACTTATGTGTAGCAGGTGAGCCCCAAACTTCAGCCAACCCCCACCCCCTGAACGACACACATCACACAGACCAGGCACAGGTCCCTGGCTACTATCCAAAGCTCTGAACTGGGCATTTTAAATTCGATTCAGACAAAAGCACTTTCAGGCCTACCGTGCTGGTCCTGGTGCTGTTAGCATGGTGGGACCCTCCAAAAAGGCCAGCACTGCCTCCAGCTCTGGGCCTCCAGACACAAATGCCGGCTCTTCCTTGTGGAAGAATGGAGGCGGCGGCAGGGAAATGCCTGCCGGCTTCTTCTGGGGCAGGCTGTGGCTATCCACTGTGCCTGAGCTATTGGGTGTCCCGCAGCTGGCTGGAGGCGGGCACACAGGAGGCCCAGGATGCAATGTGATGGTGGGGAAGGGTGTTCTGTTTTCAAACCCCTCGGAACCGCCTACCGAGAGCAGCCTCCTCTAAACCTATCCAGTTGCCCGTCATCTCGCTGGTCCTTCGTTCTGGTTCTGCATTCTTCCGAGGAGCTGGGGTAGGAACGGGTTGGGGGCTGGGCTCGCTTTCCCCACTCATCCGAGCCAACCGGCCGCTCTGCAGTGAGGCCCCAGCGCACCTAGGTGGAGCCCGACCCGCAGTTTTCAGCTGGACCAGCCCCACCTGACCCTCCGGCACGCCAGACGGGGGCGCTGCAGGGCGGCCGGGTCCCCGGGGTCCCCTCCGCGGCCCAGTGCGCATCGGCAGCTCGGCGGCCCGGGCGCTGCACAGACGGCGGCAGGCGCGGGCCAGAGTCCGAGGCAGCGCGGCCTGGCCGCCTGGGCCGACAGAGAGCCACGCCGCGTTCCCGTTCCCGCCGCAGCTCGCAAAGACGCCGAGCCGAGTGGCGGGCGCGCGCCACCAGTACTGGAGCAGCGGCGTCCCGCGGGCGCCGAGGCGCGCAGCGTCTCCGGCCCCACCTGTCGGCGCGGCCACCCTCAGCGTCGCCCCCGGCGTCCCCAGCCAGTGCGGGCGGCTCGCGGCAGCGCTGAGCCCGGCCTCGTCCCGGCTGCGGCGGCGGAGGCGCGCTCTCCCGGCTGGGCGCGGAGGCCGGCACCGTCCCGGGTGAGGGGACCGGCCCGGTAGCTCCCGGGCCGAGCAAGTTGGACTGCGGCTGACTCGGCCCGGCCGTGCGGGCCCCAGCGGCAGCGATGGTGCTGCAGCTCCGCGAGCGGTGCGCAGCCCCGGCCCTGAGGCTGGCCCTGCTCGGCGGTGGCAGCGGCGGAGGAGCGGCCCCCCTAAGCCCCCCGCCGGAGCAAGACCGGGCAGCGGCAGCGGCGGAGCCTGAGAAGGCGGCGGCGGTAGAGCAGCGGAGGAAGGCGACGCGGATCTCTGGCGCGGGGCGACAGGCGACCAGCGCCGGGGCCGCGCCGGACCCCCGAGCCCGCCGAGCCGTTGCGCAATCCGCGGCCGGTCTGGGCCCTGCTGGCGGCGCGGCTCCGGGGGCGGCGGCGGGGCTGATTCATGGGGCCGCGGCGGCCAGTACCCCGCGCCCGGGCCCCCGGCGCCCCGCAGCGCGCGATGGTGGCCGAGTGGCCGGAGCGGCGGCCGCCGCGGCCCGAGACTTTCTGCTAACCTCCCCGCCCCCGCCCGCCCCCCTCCCCGGCGCCCTCCCTCGCGCCGTCCCCTCCCCCTGCCCAAAAGACACAGATCGCCTCCCGGAGTGGCGCCTCCAGTCGCGGCGGAGCGCGGCGTTGGCGGCGGATGGAGGGCGCGATCGGGCGGCCGCCGCGGCTGCACCCAGCGGGGCGCTGATGCGGCGCCTGGACCTTAGCTGCGCGACTTCGGGGGCGTCGGCCGAGTTGGCACTCCGCGATGCAGCTCCTGAAGGCACTCTGGGCACTCGCAGGGGCCGCGCTCTGCTGCTTCCTGGTCTTAGTGATTCACGCGCAGTTCCTCAAAGAAGGTAATTGTCCCCAGCTCCCGGTCCCCGCACTGCTCGCGGCGGTCCCTGCGCGTGATACTGCCTGCTTCCAGCACCTTCCACCACTGCCAGCTTGATGGGCCGAGGCTCTGCGGGGCCAGAGTGGCCAGTGGCGCGAGCCTTTCGGGAGCCCAGCATTGGATCTGCCGCCCCTGGGCGCATCCGGGCTCAGGGGTGGCGCGGGTTAGGCGAGAGTCCGGGCGTGCTAGGGCCTGGCGAGCTTCAGTGTAGTCCCGAAGCCCAGGCTTATGCCCAGGCTGCAGTTGCCATCCCCTGCCCCGCAGGGCTCGGTGGCAGTTGCGCCTACCCGCATGCCATCGACCCTCGGTAGGTGGCACCAGTGCTCCACTTTGGTAGCCTGGCTGAAGCCAGTTCTGAGCAGGCCAGGACTGAGTGGATTGGGGGCTGGGGAAGCAAAGGTGTCAAGGGGTGAGAGCACTGAGAAACTGAGCCCATGTCCCATGCTACTTTCTGTGCTGGGATGGTGGGCAGAATTTTTCATTACTAGAATGCATAGGCCCGCTCAAGTTCTGGTTCCTTTGCCCTCCTGGTCCCCTCTAGATTGCTGGCTGTCCTATCCAGTTCTCGAGATTCTGTTGAGACTTGCTTAGGACACGTTGGATTCTTGTGGTCATGGTAACCTTTTGGGAATCCTACCTTGGCTTAGTTGGCAGGCAGCAAATGGTGGGCACTCTGTTGTAAACTCCTGCCCTTTAGTAGCCCCTCTTGGTCTTAGTGTCTCTGGGCTCAGCCTGCTCCGGTTGTTGCTGGTGCCCTTGTCCGAAGGCCATTCTTGCACTGGCTAGCATTCCCCTAGGTCGCCAGGGAACACAACCCTGAAAAGTGCTGGTGCAGATTCCTACAACTGTTTCACTAGTTCGGGTCCCTGAGGAGGAACTCCTGGGCTTGCAACATTCTGCAACCTCCCCCTCGTAACTGGTGAGCCCCTGGACACTGGGAACCACCTGCATTGTGGGAGCACTCATGGACTGCTACACATTGATCCCCCTTGATTTCAGGTGCTACTTTGGAGAAACTAGCTGGGCTTTGCTGCAGGCAGATAACCCTGCTCAGCTGGAGTTGGAGGTCCGTCTTCCCTTAAGTTTAGATGACTTGCTTCATCAGTGGGTGCTTCTGCCGCTGACTGGGGTCCCCTGCTATTGAGATAACTCTTTCCTGCAAACTTGAGTCATTTCCTTCAGGCACTCCCCCCCGCCCCCTTAGAGCTGTCCTCACCTGGTGTCCTCTGCCTGACAGCTGTGAAGGGGCATGGGGACCCCTACATTGGGGTCCTTACACTTTGAGACCTTGTTTGGGCCACAAGTTCTCTGCCAAAAGTTTCAACTGCTCCTTTGTTGCTTGGGGCATTCATCCGAGGGAGGACCATGGATGTTAGGCTTCCATGGATCCTCTAAGTTGATCTAGCCCACGTTAGTCACTGTGTTGGAATGACTTTCTGCTTACTACAGAGAGATCCTAATCATTTGGAGACATGTGACCCCGTGGATGGGTTCATTCTGATGGGAATTTGTCTGGTGGGAATAAACTAGTCACGAAGTCTTCTAAGCTATTAGTCTGTCTTTTGGTCAAGAAGGAAGTCCCTGTGTCCCTGGTGGCCAGATGTGAGGTCACATGGGCAGTTTGCACTGGCACCTTGTTCTGAAGTGGAGGGGCATGTCCTGAGGGTGGATTTGCGGGACAGCCCTTTGTGGAAGCCTGGGCATTTGGTGTGGTAGACGGTGGGCAAAGGTAGTATACGCTGACCATGGGTCATAGGACCCAAAGGCACAGTCTTGGAAGTTGCTCTTGACAAAAAGCCCCAGTGTTCACCCTGCCCTGTGGGGACTTGTGAACCTCCCTACCCCCTCCGTTGTTCACCCTGAGTTGTTTGCTTCTATGACCCTGGGTCCCAGTGCCCTTTGCTGTTTCCTTCTGTCACAGAGGTCATGGCTGGCATTCCTGTCCTTGTTTTCAAGTTTTTTGGTCTCTGGCAACAGAAGTAGGAGCCTCCGGATAGGCCTCAGGGCGTGCAGTGAGAGACTGGGGACTGTGGTTCCCAGGGGAGGCACAGGGCCCTTCTGGGAGGGTTGAACTGCAGACTGAAATCCGCTAGGAGAGAGGGAGTTAGGCAGCTTGGACAATTGTTACTTGTTGCCTGGGGATGGAGTGGGAAAGAACTGTATAAATAGTCATTTCCATGAATCTGGGTCCCTTCTCCCCCAGGGGTGAAGAATGAGGGGCCCAGGGAACCGTTTTTCCACACTTTCCCTTTTGTGTGGGGATACAGGCTACCCTGTGGCTAATCCATCCCACTCCGGCTGGCCTGTCTTGCAGCAATTGCACAGATGAATTAGGGCTGTGAACTCAAGGAGAGGAGAATTGTGCTCCTAATTGCAGCCCTGGTTTGTCCAGTTTCTGTAAGAACAGGTCTTGCCCATTGTGCTTACTCAGTGGAGGCAGCCAGAGGACCAGGGAACGATGAGTGTAGCTAAGACATGGGGTTCAGGCATCAGTAGGGGGCCCGGACTACCCTACGGAAGTATCATCAGCACTGCTTGTTTATGCAAACTCTGGTTTCCCTGAGCTAGAACAAGTCAGAGCAAAGGTGATGTGTTACGAACCCCACTCAGATCTAACTGCCTCATGGGAGCAGAACAGGGCATGGGATGGAAGGAGGAGGGAACAGGGTCTAAGCCCACAGTTTCTTGTTTATGTGGGACTCAGGACATAGAGTTAGGATGACAGCTGGAATTAGGAACATTCTTGAAATTTTAGAAGCACCTGGGCCAGGGCACAGCGGCACAAGTTCTGCTTTGGATACTTACGGTATAGGAAACCTGCAGCGCTCCAGAGTAACCCATGGATTTTTGGCCATTGGGGTCCAAAGGAGACAGGACTAGGATTTAACTCATAAGCCATTTTTTCTAGAGGAGACATCCCCGTGTGTCTCCATTAGCTGTGGATTTGAGGTTTAGCTCTCTGTCCTTGTAAATCCTTTTGATGGCTGGGCAAGTGTTGCATTAAATGAGCAGGCTATTAAAAAACCTCTTTCTCCGGTTAATATTGAGAGCTTGTGGGTGAGCTGAGTGCCTGTCCCTAGCACAATGTCCCAGCATCTTAATTCCCAGGAACTTAGAGTCGCCCCACCCAGTGTTATCGTCCTCAGCAGCTCTGAGGTCTGACTGTTGATTGAGCAAATAGGATCCAACTCTAATTTATTTAGTTAGCTCACTACTTTGGAAGTCAAGCACATTCTCTGTGGCGTGGCCAGACTGAAAGGGACACACTTAAAACCCTGTGCTAAACACTGAACTGAACTTCTGGAATCCAGTTGCATAGAGGTAGGAGTGATGAGCAAAGGGGTCAAGACCAGGCGGGTGAAACCCACAGAAATAACTGACCTGAACAAGGGGGAGCTCATGGACCCCAGACTGATAGCTGGGAAACCAGCATCGGACTGATCCAGACCCCCTGAATGTGGGTGTCAGCAGGGAGGCCTTGGCAATCTATGGGGCCTCTGGTAGTAAATCAGTATTTTTCCCTAGCATATGAATGGACTTTGGGAGCCCATTCCACATAGAGGATACTCTTTCAGTCTAGACACATAGGGGAGGGCCTAATACCTGCTCCAAAGGATATGACAGACTTTGAAGATCCTCTATAGAAGGTCTCATCCTCCCTGGGGAGCATACTGGGGATGGGATAGGGGATTATTGGGGGCCAGGGGAGGAGGGGAGGGAGAGGGAACTGGGATCGACATGTAAAACTTATTATAATTTAAATAAAAAATAGATTAACAGAAATAAAAATACCCTGTGCAGGCATGCATTGATACTCAGTGGAGATCACTAATTAGCACCATCAATGAAAGCCCTACAGCCATCCCAGGATACGTGTGCATCTGTGGCATCGATCAGTTTATTTTTCAAGTGTGTGTGTGTGTATGTGTGTGTGTGTGTGTGTGTGTGTGTGTGTGTGTTGCTCATATGTGTGTGTGTGTGGTGGCAGGAGTACCTGTGCATGGAGATTCCAGAGGTCAACCTTAGGTATCTATCACTTTTTTTTTTCTTGAGACAGAATCTCTCACTGACTTGGAACTCCACTGACAACCAAGGCTGACTGGCCAGTGAGCCCTAGGCATCCACCTGTCTGCCTCTCCAGCACTGGGATTATAGGCCACAATACCAAACCCAGCTTTTAAATTGATTTCTTTGTTTGTTTATTATTTGTTTGTTTATTTACTTCATGGTTTCTGAGGATCAAACGCGGGCTTCTGAGGATCAAACGCGGGCTCTCAAGCTCACAAGGCAAGCACTTTGCCAACTATCCTATCTTCTCAGTTGTGGACCATCTTTTTTTTTTTTTTAAATGAACAAACAATTTGAACAACATAGCACAGTTACTGACACTAAGAAATCCTTAAAACAATATTCATTGAGGGGGCTGGAGAAATTCTCAGCAGTTAAGAGCACTGACTGCTCTTGCAGGGAAGCTGAGACTTGTAACTCCACAGTTCCAAAGGATTGGATGTCCTCTTCTGACCTCCACGGGGACCAGGCACGCAACACATGGCAAACTGACATACATTCAAGTATAATGTTCCTACAATAAAAAATAATAAAGATATATTTTTAAACAATCATTGAATTAAAAAGTATATCATTCCTATTATAAATACTTGTTTCCTTGGACAGGCTGTAGCAGCGGGTGGGCATTTGTAGGACCCAATGGTGTAGGACCCAAGGGACCTGCGGCTGTTCAGAATAACCTGGCTGTTCTTGGTAGAGGCTGAGCTGTGCTTGGTGCCTGCATTGATCCTATGATGTACTGAAGGGATGAAGCCTGAATGTTTAAGGAAAGTTTTTTTGTTTGTTTGTTTGTTTGTAGACCTGTGTCCTTCTAAGTTCCCACAGCTGGACTGGGTCTCATACCCTCTCCTTCATGGCCCAGCATTGGATGCAGAGGGCCTCAGCTGTGCCTAG